GCCTGCAACTGAAAATATGGATGGAGGACCTCGGTTTAGCTTGTTTGTCGTGCTAGCACCGGGCTAATACATATAAGGCAACACAGTATAGCGTGAGGGCTAGTGCGAAGGCTAACAGGCAAAGCTGAGGTTCTTCTTCCATGAAGCAGCTCTGTTGTCCTCCATCCATATTTGTCAAAATGTGTTAAAATATATTTAAAAAAATTACAAACTGAACAGTGTGGTGGCATGATTTACCAAGAATGCAGAAACACGTTGGAATAAATGCACAGAAAGTCTGCGTGTATGGTCATCAAATGATTTAATTCTGAGCAACAGCCCAGCAGACGGTCAATCAGGAAGTCTGCTGAGTTGTGACTGGCGCGTCAGCGTAGCGCAGCCAATGATATAACATCATGTGACATGCTTACAACCAATCACAGATCGCCAACTGTGAACCATCTAACCAATGACAGGGCTGTTAGCCTGAAAACACCTTATCAGAAATTAAAGAGGTCATGCATCGCTGGAGTCTTGAAGTCTGGGCCGATAGAGTAAAACAGCCGAAACTGGTTATAATAAGATATGATTACTGTACAGTGTCAAGGTAGAACAGATATACATAATTAATCCATAACAATCCCTCCTCTTGAATAAACAATACTCAAAACCAAAACAAGTGGAAAAATTATGAAACGTCCAAACACAAATGTATCACCCAACAACAAATACAATGTAAAAATAAGGGAAAAATAGTGCAAGTTAAATGACGACCAACAACAGATACATACAATCAATGTAAGATACAACAGGAAAAAGGCATAAAGGACAAATGAAACATCATTACATATCAGAAGAATCAATGAAGAAAAACATGTCGAAATTTAAAAAACTTAAAAGTCCAAAACTTAGACAAGGTATCACAACACAAGTTCTGCCCCACTCAAAAATGATGGCATTAGCCGAGTATGTTCCATCAGAATCTCATCTTGGATAAAATGTTAACTTAATAACAACTAGTTGTCAATAAATGAACCTTAAGTAATGCAAATTAGGACAATGTGCAAAATTCAGTTCTTGCTCACTCCTATATTAATCCATAACAACAGCCTACAGTATTTTTAGTCTTTATTTTACAGTTAAAATAAATGTTTATCAAATAAAGTTTAATGTTACAACTAATCGTGGATCCCTTTAAAGATAAAATAAATATTTTTAAACGAGAAAGAAAAGCGATGTAGTTTGCAATGCTGTTCTGTTCTGTCCATTGACCTGACAGAGATGTTTTATTATTTCAGCTAGTGATTGCCAAGGTTGCAAGTCTTTTTGTAAAAATTCTTCAGAAAAGAAATCCATATTTACCAACAGAGTTTTTTGTGTTTGTATCCAGGACCATTGAAGTTGTGCTGCCAGATCTTCCTCCTGAATACAGCAGTCTTCCTCACTGGTTGTCTGAGCTGACCGACACCAAGCTGAAAAAGTTGTTGGAGCAGGGAGACTCCCAAAGGGTCCGAGAGTTATCGCTAGCCATTATCACTGTTCTAAATGAGGTGAGCCGCCCCAACATTTATGAATGCATTATTTATTCATGAATCAGTTAACGCATAGCTGTATTTATTTTTGTGCTTACTTCCCTTCAGTATGAGCAGAGCAGGGAGTCACTGCGGGTGTCCCAAGTGGAGCGCAACTACAGAGTCAAAGTCCGCAGCAACATCACCAGAGCGCTGACCTCTCTGGACCTGAACACGGTCAGCGACATCCAGCAGACCTCTGCAGCCTTAGCACAGTGCACGGTGAGCAGGAAGAGAGCGCAGCTGGAAAACCTCTGATTATCTAAGCAAAAGGCCAGGCATGACTGTGTGTGTGTGTGTGTGTGTTTCAGGCTGTAAGTCGAGAGTTCATCTGCGAGGAGTGTCAGAACAGCACTTTAAACAAGCTAGAGTCCATGTTGGAGATTTTGCAGACAGACACCAAGCAGGGCACCGTCACACCGACTGAAATCGCTGACAACATCCTGAACATCATGGGTAAGAAAGAAAAAACAAGCGGGCAGACGCCATCTTCTACTAGGGGTTATATTGTTCAGAACTACACTCACCGGCCACTTTATTAGGTACACCACGCTAGTAACGGGTTGGACCCCCTTTTGCCTTCAGAACTGCCTCAATTCTTCGTGGCATAGATTCAACAAGGTGCTGGAAGCATTCCTCAGAGATTTTGGTCCATATTGACATGATGGCATCACACAGTTGCCGCAGATTTTTCGGCTGCACATCCATGATGCGAATCTCCCGTTCCACCACATCCCAAAGATGCTCTATTGGATTGAGATCTGGTGACTGTGGAGGCCATTTGAGTACAGTGAACTCATTGTCATGTTCAAGAAACCAGTCTGAGATGATTCCAGCTTTATGACATGGCGCATTATCCTGCTGAAAGTAGCCATCAGATGTTGGGTACATTGTGGTCATAAAGGGATGGACATGGTCAGCAACAATACTCAGGTAGGCTGTGGCGTTGCAACGATGCTCAATTGGTACCAAGGGGCCCAAAGAGTGCCAAGAAAAGATTCCCCACACCATGACACCACCACCACCAGCCTGAACCGTTGATACAAGGCAGGATGGATCCATGCTTTCATGTTGTTGACGCCAAATTCTGACCCTACCATCCGAATGTCGCAGCAGAAATCGAGACTCATCAGACCAGGCAACGTTTTTCCAATCTTCTCTTGTCCAATTTCGATGAGCTTGTGCAAATTGTAGCCTCAGTTTCCTGTTCTTAGCTGAAAGGAGTGGCACCCGGTGTGGTCTTCTGCTGCTGAAGCCCATCTGCCTCAAAGTTCGACATGTTGTGTGTTCAGAGATGCTCTTCTGCCTACCTTGGTTGTAACGGGTGGTTATTTGAGTCACTGTTGCCTTTCTATCAGCTCGAACCAGTCTGCCCATTCTCCTCTGACCTCTGGCATCAACAAGGCATTTCCGCCCACAGGACTGCCGCTCACTGGATGTTTTTTCTTTTTCGGACCATTCTCTGTAAACCCTAGAGATGGTTGTGCGTGAAAATCCCAGTAGATCAGCAGTTTCTGAAATACTCAGACCAGCCCTTCTGGCACCAACAACCATGCCACGTTCAAAGGCACTCAAATCACCTTTCTTCCCCATAMTGATGCTCGGTTTGAACTGCAGGAGATTGTCTTGACCATGTCTACATGYCTAAATGCACTGAGTTGCCGCCATGTGATTGGCTGATTAGAAATTAAGTGTTAACGAGCAGTTGGACAGGTGTACCTAATAAAGTGGCCGGTGAGTGTATGTTTCAGCCAACAGCTTTCAGTGTGCAGATATTTGATCTAAGTTATAATTATTTCCTGCTCCAAAGAGCTTAAATGTAACAGTGGTGGGCACCAGCCCGCTAAAGCGCAAATCCGCTAATTGCAGAACTAAATATTTTTGTTTGCGCTTTAGCGGTCTTACTAATTTTTATAATTCATAAGCGGATTTGCACTTTCTAAAATTAAAATGTAGTACCGCTAATAACCAATTATCTACTAGTCATCATTATATTGAACAGCAGAAGGTATGGCTGTCAATGAATCACAACATGTGATCTATCCAACAGCACCCCTCCCAGATAAACACACTTATTGGAAACGTATACATCCTTACTGACTGTTGCTTTGGGTCACGGTTCTCATTTCCCACAATGCTTTGTGTCTGCTTACGTAGCAGGAAGCCAATAGCTAAAACAGTTAACATTTGTAATCCATGCCAAACTTTTGTATGCGTTGATTAATTTTACTTTAAAATCGGAGATCCTTTAAAAAAAGTTTAAACCCTGGAGCTCAATACTTGACGTAATTGGTCAAAGCAACGGAATTAGAGACGCTGAAAAGATTTAAAGATGTTATGCTGATTAAGACTGACGTCTAGTGGTCAACTGGAGCAACTACATGGAAAACTTTAAAATCCAAGCTCTTATTTTGAAGGGAAGATAGTTTCCTGTACGACCGTGCTTTCGTTTCCTGTCACAAATCAAATCCATCATGTACCCAGAATGTATCGCTTCAGTTTTCCAATAAACAGTTTTAAAATTACTTTATTGATGCTTCTTTAATGAAAAATCTACAACAAACAAAAGAAAAAGACAAAGAAGCAGCCGAACTAGCAATCCTCAACAACTTTTTAATTTTTACACCAGGAGCTAAAGGTCTGTTTCATGAAATCACATCCCCCAGTAATCGACGGTTGTAGAATTAAGCTGTAAAAGGGTTCATACACCACTAGTTGGCAGTGGTTTACATATACAGTATTATTGCCAGCTAGTAAGTGTAAAATTGAACTTGCGCTTTAAAATTAGCTTCCGCTAGTTTTTCTACGGCATAAGCGCTTTTGAAGTTGCAGACCTAAATATTTACATAAGTGCTTTAGAAATTGCGAAACTAATTTTTAAATTTGCGCTGCCCATCACTGGAAGTTAATAATGGCTGTGTCCAAATTCAGAGGCTGAGTACTTCGAAGGACCCTGTCCTGTCCTGTTGTTCTTTAGCTTTGCTAAACCTGTGTTTGTCAGAAACAATCATTTTTTACCTTCCAAAGCTCTCACCTTACATTAAACTGCAGCCAGTTGAAGTTTGCTGATTACAAATTTCTTCTTGACAAGAAAGAAAATATGTTTCATATTTTCTTCCTTCAGGTGATCTGATCCATCAGGTCAGCCAGTCAGCCTCCCACTTAAACTTCCAGCTTGCCTACGTGGATGCTCCATCACCTGCCTCCACCTCCTCCTCCTCCTCCTCGTCCTCTTCTCCTCCTTCTTCTGTGGAGAATGGAAACCCACTGTTGGAACCGTCTCCCCCCTCTCTGGAGCCACAGTCCCTGCACGTGGCAGCAAAGGCCTACAGTCTGTCCTCGGTCCTCATGCTGATCCTCATGCACGCCCGTGTCCTCAACGAGGAGCCGCTCGTGCTCGGGGGTCCGGAGATTGCCGCCACGGGAAAACTGGCCGACCCCCAGAGTCTGCTCTGCTATCATGGCAACAACAGTCCAGGTTGTGTATTTTCTCTGGAAGCCTCTGCGGTGAAACTTTGATCGAGTGATTTTTTTTTAAAGAAGTTTCTGAAACTGAAGTGGAGGAAAGCGTGAATGAAGGGAGTGTTTAATATTCTTTCCTCTCTCTGTATCAGCAGAATGCCAGCGCTTCTCCATCCCTAGAGCTTTCAACAAAAGTCTTGGCCGAGCTGCTGCAGGAAGCAGCATCATGCAGCTGCTCTTTCAGGTAACCTCAAAAATGAAAAAAACAATAGAAACCACTCAGCAGTTAAGTAAAGAATTATTAAATTCTCTTCAGTGTGTCAGCATTTCTTATTCACACATCCTCACTGCCTGCTGCAGGTGAAGCAATGTTTTCTCCTGTGTCTGAGTGTGTTTGTCTGTCTGTAATGTTAGGAAAATATAAAAATATCTATCTATCTATCTATCTATCTATCTATCTATCTATCTATCTATCTATCTATCTATCTATCTATCTATCTATCTATCTATC